ATTTCGTTTACCACAATGAACATTTTTTATTATTATGTTTGTTAACAAATATACAAACAAACTGAAGAAAAGGGTTTGGTTTGAATTTTGCGCAAAGCTACACGAAGGCTATCTGCGTTAGCCGTCCCTAATTTACCAGTGTAAGACTAGAGGGAATGCAGCTTGTCATCACCACCAACCGCCAACTCTTGAGCTACTCTTTTACCAACGAATAGTGGGATTGACCGTCATATTATAATGCCCCCACGGCTGAAGGGTGGGACGAGGATTTGAACCCGCGATCCTCAGATTGCGAGTCGAGCTCCCTAACCACCTGGCCATGCCGGACCATACGTGATGGAGAAAAATAATTATCATTTTCGGATTCAGCATACAGGAATTACTGTAGAACATGTAAAAATATCAAGACACTAGAACCATCGCAGGCCTGCCTGTGTTGTCAGTAAATATGAAATACAAAATGCGGCTTCAATATCTCAAACTCATTTTATAACAATATATATTTGTACATTTTTTAAAAACAGGTTTCTTAACATGTTTATAAAAAAAAAGCCGACACTATTCTATTTTTTTTCCTGTAATCGCGTGTGTTATGGGTGTTCAATTTTCACGGGCATTAGTAGACTTGAATTTCTGACAAACATATAATTCAAATGTCACCAAATATATAAACCATGGACACGTAAAGTCAATACAGTCAAAAACGCGTTTTGTTTCAACATTCCTAACATTACTGGTGGTTATACATAACATTATGTCGCTTGTTCCTGTACACTATATACGCAGAAGCTAAGATTATACAGCACATAATCCAGTTTGTATCAATTAAGTAATTACCTGCTCTCGTTTGTTTTTACTGTTTGTTTTTAAGGAGTTGGAATATGGTCACTGTACCTTGTAATTTCATGTAACGATTGCTAACCGAAATGACAAATATTGCTGAAACCAACACAAAGCCATAATATACAGTAAATATCACAAGTAAAAACAAATGAAATCAGCCAGAAAATCTCACACAAGAAGGTGATAACCATTGTCAACTTAGATTTCATCGTATTCTTTCTTTTTTGTTAGGTGAATTTCGTGCAAAACTACTCGAAGGTTATATGCGTTAGCTCTCCCTAATTTAGAGGTGATAGAGTGACGGAAGCTAGTCAACACCATCTACCGTCAACTCTTGGGCTATTATAGTAGGATTAACCACCACTTATTAACGCCCCGATGGCTGAAAGGACGAGCATGTTCGGTAACGTAGTTCGAACTCATGACCTGCTGATTGCGATTCGAGCATTCTAATCACCGGGCCATGGCAACTTTGTCATATCAATCTTAAAAGTGAGCTCATATATTCAGAGTTTAAAAGAATTAAGTCTTAGTTTATATAAGTGTTAATATATTTTGCAACGTTTGAAAAACCATTACTGTACAACCGAAATAAGCAATAAATAGTATAAATAACTAACTCTATTTTTCAAAGCTTGAAAAATAACTTTAATACTCTTTTATTATAATTAGCAAAACAGTAACTGTAAATACATTCTACAGCTAGAGTCAAACTTGAAATTGAAAACACTTTTTTCCCTCTTTTCCTCAAGTTTCTCAAGTATGTTAATGAATATTGTCCTTATGTTAAGCTTTCTTAACACAGCGGTGACTTTTTGTGGTCATACATGAGAGAATTGTTTGTTTTATGTGTTGCGTACGTAAGCTATTATTTAAAGCAACGCATTTCATGGGTAAAGTCGTCGTTAGCGTCTCTGATTCTGATTACAGCTTTATGCAAATTGAGTTTGATAACATTAGCCTTTAACATGTTTATCCTATCTCCGACATTAGGTATGTATTGTATATGCTTGTATGAATTAACATGCGAATGAAAACATCTGCTACAAGGTATAAGCTTAGTCACCATCGGAAACATGCATAATATAGAAGATCAAGAAATGAAGACTTGGTGGAGAGTACTGAGTTGTGTTTCATACTTGTACGTCAATTTCTATGTATATGTGTGTGTTTTGTGAGCATGTGTTAAGACAGGAAAACAAAAAATACTAGCTAATGTGATATAGAAAAAAAGCGAATGTCTGTCAGAGAACTTCAGAGAGATATGCAGGGGAAAAAAGCCATGGTGTAGTTCCTTGTCTCCTGTCGGTGAAAGGGGTCGAGGTCACGGAACATCTGAGGGAATCTTCATCAGGTGGTCCATGTAAGCGTTGCTTAGAGTGGCACAGAAGGCCTTACATGAATGTACCGAGCAGAAATGTGCATTCAGAAGCCAACGGCAAGCACACGTGGGACATGGACGAGACCCCTGTCTCACGGGAAGACGCGGGAACCGAGAAACACGATAACTCTGTTTTGGGGTACCGTCTTCAGTCTCTTTTCCTCTATCTAACAAACAAAGTGGTGCAGCTTCGTGGGTAGTAACCTCCCTCCCCTCCCATCCCCTTCTACCACCATATAACAGTACATCTTTGCTTGAATACTTATTGAAATGTTACAATGAAGATAAAAACTGATTTTTAGCTAAAGATGCAAATCGGCTTGACCTCTGTAGATAATTCGGATGAATGCCACTGATTAATCAATATAACAGTCTTCTCACACGCATTTCATTACCAATAGTCTTAGCGTCCAACATGAATTATCCTTGCTTTTTGTTACAAGCTGCAGTACTATATACACGACTAAACATGTTACAAAAATGGTTCAAGATTCTTTATTTTATAGTCAAAATCCACAAGGTTATTGGGTATTGCTCAACAAATGATTAGAGCCGTACAGTTATATTACTTTATAACCTTGATATTAGACGGACGAACGCCTGATTGTTACACACGATATAAACTGCGACATGAAGAATTAAAGTGCAGTACTGGGAAGTCATGAAATGTTTACCTATTTTATTGACATAAAACTGTCATATAACAATTGTAGTACTGAAGTTAATTTTGAAAGAGTATAGTTATATCTGTATACTATTATTAGATAAAACAAGACACTGAAACTTTCTCTGTAAAACTAAAACAAAATACGACTACAAATCCTACATCTGTCCTTCATAGATCTATCTACGGCTCACACATATATTATCGAAGTCATCCTTTGACTAGAGCATCTATTCAATGTGTTTCCAATAGAGTATAATGTTCTTTACGCCTTAGAATAAGTTGATAATAAAGTATCGTTTGTGAAACATTTGATTCATTTTCTTAAAAAGTTAATAGTAACTATCAACTTATACCAATGAATCAAAACTTAATGCATTTTAGCGATTAATTCTGTGAAACCCTAAAACTCAGCTGTTCGTCATCAAAAATATTGCGGAACTTTAATAATTTTGATGTACTCTTTCTTTCTTTTCTTTTTATATTTGAGCCGAGCGTGGCCTAGTCATTAGCGTGCTTGAAATGTGAATCGTAAGATTCAACATTCGCGACCCATTGCTCTGCACTTTGGGACAGTGGGCCCGCTACAAGATCGACGGTCAGATCCCACTATCCGATCAGACAAGAGTGGGTACTATGAGCTATCCTCCCTCTAGTTAAAATTTGTGATGGTTATGAACAGATACGTCATTGTGTAACTTTGCGCGCAATTCTGAAACAAACTTTACTTTTGTACTTTGTTATTATTATCTGCCATGTTCAATTGAATGAAAGCATTAAGTACATTTACAAAATTGTAAGAGAATGGTTAAAAGCAGTTTATCGAAATTATTAATTTTTATAGCCAGTTTAGTCTATTTTGAACCTCTTACTCGCTAAAAACTCGTAATGAGAGTTAATGAATATCTTCGGAAGATTTTAACAAATACTGCACCAATCTTTTTCAATAATGCATTTCATCGCAGAGTTCCATAAGGTTTGCAAATTTATTTTTCTTTGAAAATAACACAAAATCATTATAGGACATTAGTCACTGCTATAAAATATTCATACATTTCTTTAACTGATATAACAACTTTAACAAAAGTAAAACTTAAAATAAACACATGTAACACGTCATTTCTCAGGCACAAATGTTCACACCAAATATATTTTTGTGTAAAAGCAGTAAATCTTGCCAGCAAACAAAAAATAATAATTTGTGGGTTAGTTGTAAATGAAGAAACCCTTTCCTGTCAATATTGTATGTCTACCGCACATTAACACTGAAATGTGTTTAATTCAAAGCCAAAACTTAAAACATAAAGAATTACAGAATCATACAAATAGTTTCGATGGTGAACTTGTAAAACTTTGTAAATGTATAAAATCCAGACATTACAATTGTTAAAAATGTGGATGCATTAAATGTTGAAACACCTGTGCAACATACATCTGAAGACAACGTTGTGTTAATACAAGATAGATGGGATTATTTGGCTTTAATCAAACAACAACCTGAAACACTACAGATTCCGCTCGTGTTCACCGAAAAGGAATAAGAACTCAAGGCTGGTGAAATCAGTCAAACATACGAAAATCTGATGATTTCAAGTATCCTTCCTCACAATAAAATTAGCTTAAAACGAAAGCCCGAAAGCATTGTAACTTTACCCAGAATAACAACAACTAGAGAACTGTTTGCTTCTATCTGAACATGCCGTGCCTACTACAGGGCAAGACCGTGATCGAACGTTTAATTTCACAGGTTCAGTTCCATTACTTGAAAACAATGCATCGTCACACTAATAGTGTTGAGACGCAGAATTATAGAAAAATTACGCACCATCAACTCTTGGGTTACTCTTGTCTTAGCGGATAGTGAGATCTAACCGTTAATTTTATAGCGCACCAAAGCTTTAAAGTGCGGAGTTCGTTTACAAGGCAACGGGGCGCTAACCATAAACCCTTGGATTCACAGTACAGGTACTCTACGTATTAGATCACACTCGACCAGATGTGTCTATGGATCAAAGAATAAAATATGTTTCCTTGTAATTGCATTGTTACATCTCAAGATATTACGAAAACAAATAAACTAAGGTATAACCTCATACATGTATCAACTAAAAAACAACAAGAAAATGTCATAGAGTGTTTCGAGGATGTTCAAAATTAAAGCTATTAATTATATATAGATTTTTGGGCTGATTTTGATTGTCATTTTTCAACATTCTGTATTGCAAATAGTAAATACAGGTCTCCTTTCTACAACTTTAAAAACACGAAGTTGGTCATAAAAAGTTTCTTATTTTCATTCCATCTATCATAAATAAAAAACTAATACATTTTTTGAATTCGCTTTTATCATCTAACACTGAACGGTTCGCTATCAACATTCCAACCCGCTTATTGAGTAACAATAGTCGCTGCTATACACGATAAACTTGATAATTCAAATAAAGTGATTAAAACGTCAACTTTGATGGCAAATGAATTTATCACAACAGATTCGTGGGCAACTGAAGCATGAATACCTTACATTTCTTATATAATTCGTAAAAACATTTTTTTAAATTTCTTTGTGTGGTAGCTACTTGACAGTCTTAACGATATCCGAATTAATGTCTAAATACCCGTAGCCAATGTTATATGTATATATATATATATATATCGCCATCTGGCGTTACTTTTGATAAACGGAGCATTCGTTATATTTACTCAATTGTTTTATTAAACAAGAGCTCAGAATCATCAATATTCTGCTATGGTCTTAGAGAATTGATATATAAATTAGGGTAAACAATTTAAAAACTGTTAACTTCTCTTTCTATTAAATAAGATTAGAACCTTGCTTAACGTTTTATGAACGGGGGGAAACATCACATTTATTAGAGAACGGTTCTTAAAAAAAAAGAGAAATATATATCTATGCGGAATATATCTATTTTGTAGTGCTTTCGCAACTTTGATGTCACTCTTCAGTTTGAAGGATGTTTAACGCTGGAATAGATACAATTCGTGATGAGTTTTCTTAATATTAAGCTAAGCCTGTATACATCTTTGGATACAAAATTTGGTATTAATGGCTGGGACCAAACTGATCACGGCAACACTTAGTAACACAGATCCGTTTGTAATCGTAATAAAGATATTTCGTCATAATTTGTCGTTTGTCACTTGTTTTATTCGGCCCTGCTCATCGTATTCTGATTTTAGACGATTGTTTGTTTGTTTTTGAATTTCGCGCAAAGTTACACGAGGGCTATCTGCGCTAGCCGTCCCTAATTTAGCAGTGTAAGACTAGAGGGAAGGCAGTTAGTCATCACCACCCACCGCCAGCTATTGGACTACTCTTTTTACCAACGAATAGTGGGATTGACCGTCACATTATAATGCTCCCACGGCTGAAAGGGCGAACATGTATGGCGGGACGGGGATTATTTTAGACGAAGTGAAGTTGGGTTTTATCCTAACTTGTCAGTGGGAAGAAGAAACTGCAAAATTATGTTAATGAAGTTGTTTTGATTTACAGGATTACGAATGCTAAGAGTGAGTCACACATCTGTTCCATTTTAAGAAACCTCTTTACACTTAGCTCAACTACGTTACACTCAAAAATCGACGATCTTGCGTTGAATTGATACATGTATATAATACAACAAAGTTGGCGTAGCCTTCTATAAATATTATTATTTTACAGGTTTCGTAATGCTTGGGCTATTTTTCAGCCTTTGGAAAGGGATAGGGTGTAAGGAAACCGATAATATACACACTAAAATTACTTTAAAAATAGTTAAACTACTTGTAACGCACAACGTTTAAGATGTAAAAATAAATAGGATAGGATATTGTTCTATACTCACTGAATTAGACCTAACTGGTTTCAACGTAGTGGTGGGGGACAAGAATGGTTGTTATATGGCCTGTTATATAATCTAAACACATATTAAGGGTCAGTTTCCGTTGGTTTCTAATGCGACTGATCAGTAAACTAGTCTATAATGAAAAATATACTACGGCTGTTTAAATGAGAGGATGACATGTTTCCATATCCCCAGTATAAACTACGCCTATGAATCTTGATATTACATTTTTAATTCTACGGTTTTCCAAGCTATAGACGTGTTAATTAGAATGCGCCAATTTTTTAACCACTTTCGTGAAATTTCCCTCAATATAAAATTTTGTGAATTTTGCAACGATAAAAGAATAATGTTAAACTGTCATTTTTTTCTTTTGTAACTTAAATTGTCCACACTTTGTTTCATTTTCAAATACTCATTGTTCTCCAACATATTTGGACTACATGTGTTTTCCTCTCTATTATTGTCTGTTTTAACGCAAAGCCACATTAGCATAACTGCACTTTGTCCATCGCGGGGAATCTAACCCCGGATTTTAGTATTGTAAGCCCGTAAGACGAAGCTATTATTCCGATCTTTTCCGCCCACCAACAGTACAAAAACGATCTTTTCCGTGGAAAGCATATAGAAACATCCCGAACGTAGGAGGCTATTTTTACCGGCATGAAACTGTACATCACAGTGAAATTTTTTTTAGATCCTGAAACTTGCAGCCATACTCAAAATATTGAAACTATGTGGCACGGTTTAAAGTGAAGAAATAAGAGTCAATGTGAAACTCATCACCAAATGCTTGACTCTTATGTTTGTGGATTTATATGGAAAATAGAAACAAAGATGAAGAGTACTTTAAAAAATAGTTCAATATCGCAGAATTCGCTAAATAAATATCATATAATGTTTTATTATTAATTATTTTATTCTATTGCATTACTGGTGTTATTTTCAAAATGATCTGTTGGTGGGCACCAAAGGGAAAAGACCCAATTATTCTATCAAGTAATCATAAAATATAGTAAATCAGACTAGTTCATGAACAGTAAAGTGCTGCATGGACTTGTTCATTACGAATCCACTTCGACTCGATTCTTCTACATGTTTTGCACTGAGAGTTATAACACAAAGTTATAAAAATGCATAAATTAAAAAAAAATACAATTTCATTAAAAGGGGGAGTGGAAGAAAGAAATCTTTTCCAATATAGTATATTAAATCTCTTCTGTGGGACAATACTTCTACAGTCGTGTGAGTAACGAAATTAACTTACTGATATTTTCAAACTCACGGGTAAGTTTTCCCTTACTTCTGTCTTAGGAGGTAGAATACAGTCCGGTACGATCTGATCTTCTTCAAGGACTTGATCTTTTCCCGTTAACAAGCAGACACTGCTATCCATAGTCCGTAACTCAGTGCAGAGAGAACGAGTTTTTTTAGCGAGCGCTCGGACTATCGTTGTTTCGGAGACACACTGTCTAGTCGTCCACTATCTTAAGATATCTCAGAAAAAGCTGATACGAGACATCGCGCAGTTCCCTCTTTTCGAACTTTGTTAAAAGCGCATACGTTTGCTTTTCTACTCTCAAAACTTCCGACCCTAAAGCGCTACTTGCTATAGTAACTAAACAAGGAGCTCCTTAGCGTATTTCTAACCACAAAATGTTTCCTAACAAGTGGTTTTATCAATGAATTTGTACATTGCCAAACTTAGAGGTCTTGCTTGCGTATATTACGCATGTCTCACTCTAGCGTCATCGTCATGAGGGTTGTTATTGGCTAGTTTCTTCTCACTGAACCTCTACGTGTTTGATTGGATAAAAGAACCCATGGTGTTTGCGTAGCGTGACTAGTTTGTGAATTGAACAAAGTCGTTTGTTGAAATGTACGCGCGTGACACAAGTTATTCGTTTAAAGTGTCGTTTCTAAAAGCGTGTGGCATACCTTGAGGACATTTTTTGATGGTAAATTCGATTTGTTGTCTAGATAATGCATCTAGATCAATATCAATTACCGGATACGTACAAATAAAACGGTCTACCAATAGTGTGGCAGTTCAAATCATGATATTTTTTTTGGGGGGGGGGGGGAGTAGCTTAAGGCGGTATTTTCCAAACAAGTTTTCTGCATACCATGAAACTGGCGGTCAACTCATGGCTCTTTCACCAGTTTTGTATTAATCACCATCTAAATGACGTTAGCATATCTAATCATTGTATAGCAACATATATCAGAAGCACCAACTCTATCAGGAGCAGATAATTATTGCAACTCTCTAAGTAATGTCGACAGAAACTTCTAAGAATCTGTGTTTACATAATGATGTCTCATAAAACTTAGAGCTTAAGGAACATTGCTGGTCTTCAAATGCACTTATATCGTATCTTCCATAAAATACTTTTATGTACAGTTATATGTATATTTAATTCCAAGAAAGTATTATTACGCCATTTAAGTCCGCTTCAGTTACCTAAAAAAACGTTAAATTTATCTCAGTTGTCACTATACAAGAATAATTAACCGAAAAATTAATTGTACAAGCATTTGTATCAAATAATAGGTATCGAAACACAACAGAAAAGTATATAACTTTACTCATCTATTTCATTGCTTTTCATGATCTGGACAACTTATTTGCTACAGAAGATAGATGTAGATAAATGGATCTGTAACAATGATAATTTTAACATCTGGACATTGTTAATGTTACATCGAGTGATCCATAAAATTGTTCAATACTCACCCGGAAACAGGACAATAAACTTAGTACAGAGGCTGATAAACTAAATAGTCGTAATGGTATTTCCGCAAGCTCGTGCCGTTCCAGGAAATGCCGTATCTTAGCTTGGTGAAGCTGTGTTCTGAGAAACGAATCTTCTGGAAACCCGTTATCTCTTACACAACTGTAGCGTCGTAAATTGCATTATTATAACAATAACATAGAAAGGTAAAGCACGAATATTTTATATAAACCATTTCTAATTATATTTATTTGAGTACGATATGTTGCTTAATAGATTATGTAAATAGAATTATCAAACTTCTTAACAAATTCAGTTCTAAGCCTATGACATTTTAAGAACTACTATACTATTTTAAAGTTTTAAACCAACCAACTTTTGAACTACTCTAACCGTCATTCTTATAACGCATACATGGCCCTAAAGTGCGCCACGCGATTTTTGGAGGGGGCAGTAGCAGGGAGGAAAACACGGAACCTCGGATCCACCAATTAATTGTATAAGATCTAGAAACCTTAATAATGTAAAACGTGACAAGTGACAATTTTGAATAACACATAATGGTTGGAGACGGCTTGAATGGGTAATGAAGAAAAACTTTAATATAAGTTTAACATAACAGCAACTGTACAACGTTTCGACAAGGTTTTGTCATCATCAGGAATAACTCAATTAAAATTGTAAAATGATTTGATTACTCCCTTTTCTAAGTATCAATTAAATTGCCTACTTTTAAAACAACAAAATTTATTATTCGTATTAATACTTTTGTTCGTTCGTTTGTTTGATATTAAGCGCAAAGCTACACTATCTGAGGGTTATCTGTTCTCTGTCCATCGCGAGTAACGAATCCTCATCTTTTAACGTTATAAGCACTCCGACCTACCCCTGAGGAACCTATTAATATTTTATAGTAAGTCATATTTATAATGAGCTAGTATAAACATAATCTACTTTCAATAGGAAGAAGTAAAATACCGTGTCCTTCATAAAGATGTTAAGTTACACTTTATTTTGGAACCATAACTTCACGTCTTTAACAGCTATATGTAGTTGATTCATGACAAATCCAAACCATTTGGCTTGGATTGCAACAAAGGTTGAATGTTGACTGGAGGATTATAAAAAGCATTTCAGAAAAAAAAAATTCTACAGTAAGATTTTTAAACGATGTAGAGACATAGAATAAAACAATTGAAAAATAAAGCTTTCTGTGTTCTCCGTATATAACTTGCACAGTAAATGGTTAATGGATAGCAACGGGTTCTAAAAACACACCACTACTCTATACAAAGCAACGCCGTCATCTTTAAAGTGAAAGTTGTAGTTAAGAAAGAGAACCTTCCGTCTCATAAAACCACTGAGAAGAAATTAGACATATGTCTTGGTATTGTTGACAAAATAATAAACAATGATTGAAAATTGAGAAAGGCTTACAAGGTTCTGTGTTCACTTCGAAATCGCCTGTTCTCACGAGGAAGATGGCCAAAGAAACTGGAATTGTAGCTGTCCCATTTCATTACACCGTTGTTTAAATGTGGGGCTAATCAACTTTTGTGCCTTTAGTTTGCTTAAATGTGGTACCGGAAGCCAACGTTCTTGTACAGGCGAGAATCTATGGAAAGTTTCCTAAGATATTTGGCCTAAAATTTACCTCACCGTCCATCGTAAGAGTTTGTTATAATGTAAAACGTGGTGTCAAGCATTAGTAAGCTAGCAACCACGGCCAATCAGATGGAACAGATCGATGGTGGAAGCTGCGAGTCCAAGAGCAACACGAGATCTAGAACATTGTTTGTATAAGGTGCGATTAACATCAATAACGTTTCTCCGCATTTACAGTTAAGCTTGTTTTAATTTTTAAAAGTTAGGCCTTTTTATTTCTAAGAACAGTGTGGCTTTTTGTTCATGCCTCTTTTACGCGAAAGTCTTAAAACGCAAAGAAAAAAATGTAAGGACTCCATTGACAATATTAAAAATACAAAACTACAGAAATAACAAAACGGAAATAAAATTATAACCGAAAAAATATACACTAGAAAGTATAATTATCTTTATACAAAAAATCAATAAAAAATGGTTATACATCCATACGGAAACAGTAGGCAAATAAGCAAAAAGTAACTCAATGCATTTTTAGTTGTTTTGTTGTTGTTGTTGTTTTCGGTTCAGGAACAATGGAATATGTTTCTTAAAATTATTTTATTAATCACTCTTTATCCTCAGCTAGTGTTTTCAACATCTTTGAAGTGTTAATTATTGTCTCTGTTATATAATAAGATAATTTAATATGATAAGAACATTAAAGAAAATTTGAAAGATGCACCAAGGATTATCGATAGTTATCATTTTCTCAATGAAAAACTTGTTATGTCCTAGACTCGCAATCTGTGGGTCGCAGGATCAAGGCCTCCACCAAACATGCTCTTTGTTACAGTTATAGGGGTGTTAGAGTGACAGTAAATCTCACTGTTAGTTGGTAAGGAGTAGCCAAGAGTTGGCTGTGGATGGTGTTGACTATCTGCCATCTCTCTAATACATCACTTCAAAATTAGGGAGAAATTGAGCAAAGAAACACACAGTAGAAACTATTTAGGTATGAAAAGCAGTTTTCATTATTGCACACGCAGCATATCTTGATCATTTCGACTTAAAAAAAACGCGCACTTGTAATTAAATTGCATTAGTGTTTGTTCTATAAGCGTGTTTTTATTTATTTTTTACTTTAATTATTACATGGAGATTGAAACTTGTAAAAGTTTCTTTATGATCAACCTAAGATAAAGCTATAGAGAACGAAAAGTTTCTAAGAATGTAGACTGTAAGCATAGTTCTTGGAATATCCCATTTGCTGATTTTTAGTAAGTTCACAGAAGCTGAAGACAAAAGGCGGAAGAATTTCGAAAGCTCGTCCTCTTCACTTGTGTTTCTACAACAGGCAGTTGCCGTCCATTGAATTACGTTTCATCAAATAGTACCCTATTTTCAAATAATCCTTTGCCTGTAGATATAAAGCAGTTTACTTTCCCAACATATTTTGTTTGGCTTCGATCATTATACAGCATGACAAAAAAAAATAATGTTCAGGACTTTTATTATTATTTTCCTGACAGCCATACACATCGAAAAGAAAAACAAAACACACGTTCACTATAAAACGAAGTTTACATTTTACAAACAAAAATTCCCACTTGTAAGTTCATAATTCTTTAAGCATATAGGATAGCGTGTTTGTTTGTTTTTTGAATTTCGCGCAAAGCTACTCGAGGGCTATCTCCACTAGCTGTCCCTAATTTAGCAATGATAGACTAGAAGGAAAGCAGCTAGTCATTACCTCTCACAGCTAACTCTTGAACTACTCTTTAACCAAAGAATAGTGGGATTGACCGTCACATGATAACGCCCCCACGGTTGAAAGGGCCAGCATGTTCGGCGCCGAGGATTTGAATCCGCGACCAACATATTGATAGTTGAATACCCTAACCACAGGTCATGTCAGGACTATATGGTAGCAAAATAAAGAACTTGCGATGTCGTTGATTCATCAGTTTCTTTTGATTTTTCCAAGTCTTTTGCCTGTGTATAGTGTTTTCCCAGATTTGAATCCACTGTTCAGATAATAGCCGCTTTAATCTCAGAAAGGATACAAAATGAGATTAATAACGTCTCATAATGCTACTAGTAACCTGCTTTCATGTTGGAATGAAAAATTTGACATCAAATGTTAAATTCTCTAAACACCATATCTCGATATCAGAAATGTCATAGAATTTTGCTGAACCAATCTGAATATTGTTTTATTCATAGACTTAGTCATCAAGCATCGCAAACAGCGGCGACCACATGTAAAATAACAAATGCGTGCACTTAAAAACAACATTCGAAGGCCTTCTGCTGAGGTGGTTAACGGCTTCAGACGATATCGCTACTCTGATTT